TTCCACTTTGTTACAATACCATTAAAAGTTGACTGTAGAATATTTAGTAGCCAGGAATTTTCAGGGATGGACTTATTGCACAGGTAGCCACCTATCACGGTACCACGCTTGAATTCACTGAGCTCCTGAGAGCGACCCATTCTTTCACAAATGTTTCTGGAAGCAGTCTGCATGCCTAGGGGCTTGATTTTATACACCTGTGGCCATGGAGGTGATTGGATCACCTGAATCTGATGATTTGGAGGCCTGTCCCAATACTTTTGGCAATATAGTGTATTCAATTATCATTCCTAGGTTTAGATACACTTACAATTTGTGCTCAGAGGTAAACTCATAGTAAGCCTTTCCTTGTAGGTACAGTGAGCATCTGGTGCTGTTTGATAAATATTCACAACGGATCTAGCCGATGATGCCACTGCGCATGCGCAGTGACGTTCTGCATTCGGGGCACACTGATTGTGCCCTGAATGTAGAGTGTGGTGCCACAAGCTGGCTCCCATGTGCATGTGTGGGAGTGACGCCTGGCCATTCAAATGGCTATAGAGTGAGACCTCCAGTGAAGATAGGAGCCCTGGTAGTGGTGACGGCACAGCACTAGAGGGCTCCATTTTCAAGGTAGGTTTGCCATATTGTGCGGTGCATACCAGCTCATCCTGGCATAACACTGCACCCATTAAAAAAAAAAAGTGTATATAGTTTACTACCAATTAAACCATTTCCCAGCCGCATACCTCAGCGCCCCCCCTGCGCTGAATCACGTACATGTGCATGATCCAGCTCTTCCTGGTAGGGGCGCGCGCACAATCTCCCGTCGCCCAGGCTGTGCTATCATTCACTACAGCACATGCCGATCTGCAGGTCCCGGCCAATGATTTTTGGCCGGTACCAACTGATCAACTCAGTGAATAACAGAAGTGAGCCCTGTGTTGGTAAGCAACACAGGGCTCTCTAATGCTAGGTTCACATCTACAGTGGGGAAATTCATTATTTGATCCCCTGCAGATTTTGCCCACTTACAAAGAATTAAGAGGTCTTTTTAATTTTTATCATAGGTGTATTTCAAATGATAGAGACAGAATATCAACCAAAAATCCAGAAAAAATACATGCGGGTCCAATGAAGTCTATTACAATCTGCTGCGAGAAAAAAGAGTCTCTGACCCTTCCAAAAAAAATGCACCAACTCAGAACGCACAGAAGTGAACTAGATCCATAGGAAACCATGTTACATGGATTGTAGTACGGTTCTGCAAAATGGAAAACGCACTGAAAGCCGCATAAGTTTGAACCTAGGGTAAAGACAGCAGCAACTTTATTAGGTATACCTTGCTAGTGCCATGAAAATCTCCCCCACACCCAGGGGCAGACTGACAACTCATGGGGCCCCCGGGCAATAGGGGATCATGGGGCCCCTGTGTCCTTGCCCAAACTCAAAAAAGCCTATGAAAAAGGTAAGAAAGGGCATCCCATGGGGCCCCCTACTGACCCTTGGGCAGAGCACGAGTTTCCAAATGGTCAGTCCACCCCTGCCCATACCATTACATCACCACCACCAGTATGTATGTAATAAAAAATAGAAAGTCCAGTGTTGATTAAACAGCACCAAAAGAAAGCTCTGTGTGAAAAAAATGATAAAACTTTCATTCGGGTACAGCGTTGCATGACAGCGCAACTGTCACTTAAAGTAGTGCAGTGCTGAATAGTAAAAAAAAATGGCCTGGTCATGAAGGGGGTAGAACTTTACAGAGCTCAAGTGGTTAAGAAGAAAAATCACATGATTAGTTCAGTGCAAAGCATGAATATTACCAATTCCAGGGTCTCTGTTACAATAATTTGTTATATCTGCCTGGAGTCAGCTTAGGGCGTTATTAAACCCCCCAAAACAAGATGTATTATGTTTCAGTGTACCAATCATTAGATGATTGCATTCGTTTTATTAGGCTTTTTTCTACTCTGTTTTTTCCTGATGATCTGGCCAGTAAGACATCTCCTGTATTGCAGTGCCCCCACTCTGGATGAAGGAGCAACTGAGGCACCTTTGGACAGCAGAATTGTTGGTCTGGGGATAGAGGAGTGTCAGATGGACTAGCAGATTTAGATACACTAACAAATTGAAACCAAGCTTCTATTCACACTTTATAAGCAGGTACAGTAACGGTTTGTTTCCTTTTAGGATAAACATTTTACATAACTAAAGACAGATGATTGTAAGCACCCCTGCCAGTGTTAAATGGTTTGTCTCATCCCTGTAAACTGATCTGTAAGAGAGCTTATTGGCCAGGTCACAAGGTGAAAATAGGAAAAAGAAAGCCTAAGGCTTAGTTCACACTAGCTTTGAAAGCTGGTGTTTGAGGGGCGTTTTTAATGCTCCTCAAACACCTATGGAAATGATACTATGGGCAGCACACAGTGATGTTCACATTAGCAAAACATAAAGGGTTAGCATTGCGTCGCTTCAAAATTGAAGCCTCATGTCGAGTTAGGAGGAGTTGAAACCTTTGAACGCCTCCCATTCAAGTCTAAGGTGACGCTCCTCAAACACCTGGCAGGCGATTGTGGGGTGTTATTACCACTAGAATTTATTAAAGGCATTTATAATGCAGTTTTAACGCTTGTAAAATGCCTATAAAATGCCTCAAAACCTCGCATAGGGTTTTTGGGGAGCGTTTTTAACACTTGTGGAACTCCCATACTAAAGCTCACTAATGCCTGTCTAACGCTATAGGGGCGTTTTTGAAGCGTTAGAGATTTAGTCAGCTGTGAACAAGCCCTAAAAAAAGAAAACTAATGCAGCCATCACATGTAAGAATCTGTAAGCTGCAATATAATACAGTAAATGTTTGCTCTGGGGTTAAATTGTCTTCAGCAGAACTCTCACCTCTGCAGGATTCATTTATATTACAACAAATAACTCTGATGGGCACGCTTTAATGTAAAATGATCATCAGAGGACATCCAATCCAGCTTCACAAAAAAAAATAATAATAATGAAAGAAACACTCTACACATTCATGTGAATTAAAAAAAAAATCAGACCTGTGTTTAAGTCACTTCTCCTGCTTTCCATATCAATGCTAAACTGTTCTGTAAAAAAAAAAAATAAATAGTCGCATGCATTTATGCGTTGTGCAAATCGCTAATACGCACATTATCATACTGGATGGCATTGCATGTTAAATGCGTTAATGCATTGTGCAGCCATTCATTTTGAACAGCATTCCAAAAACCTAAGGCAACATGCTGCAACGCACACAGGGGCGGACTGACAACTCATGGGGCCCCCGGGCAACAGGGGATCATGGGGCCCCTGTGTCCTTGCCCAAACTCAAAAAAACCTATGAAAAAGGTACCAGGGGCATCTCATGGGGCCCCCTACTGACCCCAGGCCCTCGGGCCGTGCCCAAGTTTCCAAATGGTCAGTCCGCCCCTGAACGCACCACAGTGTGTTGAAGCCAAAAAATGTTGCTATTATTATTTCTATTACACCAACAATTTGCTCAGTGCTTTACAAATACAGAGCACTTGCACCAGTACTTGTACAAATGCTCCTGATATTGAAACTGATACCCTTGCGGTGTGATTTGAGCCCATACCAAATGAATGGGCTCAATCTGCACTGCAAAGAATTGTATGCGATCCAAGCAGGAATTCGGTGTGATTCCTGTCCAAATAGCATGCAGTTTCCTGCACAACTCTTGTGTGAACCCAAGCTTGTCAGAGTGACTTTGAGCCTGAGTTCACACAGAAGCAGTGCGGAAAACCTCCCTGCATGACAGGTTCCACAGTACAAGCTATAGGGATTCTAATTGGTCAGCCCCATCACATGGACGGCACTGCCAATCAGAAACCATCTAGCCTGTACTGTCAGCACTGCAAGGAAAGGAGAGAAAGATGTGGGGGGTTCAAATCCCTGGAACGATGAAGCGGCTTTTCATTGTCTGACAACGGGGGATCATCAATCTGGTACGGCGGGACAGGCGGGGATGGGGAGGGGGTCCAGTGGATGACTGGAACTGCTGGAGGAAGAGAGCTGCTGGAGGCTGGGGAGAGAAAGCAGAGAGGAGAGGCGGGAGGTAGGAAGAATCCAAGCCACAGCCGCTGATGTTCACAGTCGGATCCAGGGGCGGACTGACCATTTGGAAACTCGGGCACTGTCCGAGGGCTCGGGGTCAGTAGGGGGCCTCATGAGATGCCCCTTGTACCTTTTTCATAGGCTTTTTTGAGTTTGGGCAAGGACACAGGGGCCCCATGATCCCCTATTGCCGGGGGCCCCATGAGTTGTCAGTCCGCCCCTGGTCAGATTGGAAGCCAGAGCTGGTGGAACCCGTCATGCAGGGAGGATTTATGCACCGCTCCGGTGTGAACTCAGGCTCGTAGTCTCTATGGAAAGCCTGGGTTCACACAGGAGCTGTGCAGGAAACCGCATGCGCTTCGGACAGGAATCGCACACCACATTTCTGTTCAAATCGCATGCAATTCTTTGCAGTGTGATTTGAGCCCATTAATTTTGTATGGGCTCAAATTGCAACGCAAAGGTATCTGTACTCTGTACCGGTGAGTACTTGACGAAAGGTGGATCCCTTTGAGAATGTGCGTACGCACGAAACGCATCAGAGGGAGCCTAGGTGCTGATGTCACACCGCCGTATCCACTTGATGGTTCAGCAGGCATCTTTGTAAGTGCTTTTTATCCATTGATGATTTTATGCTCCATGTGGTTGCTATCTTTTTAATAAAACATACTACACTATATGATACTGTCTCTGCGCTCGGTCTATGAGCTTGCCCTCTAGGAGGAATCCCTTTCCTTGGTTCACCGTGGGATGGAGATGGAGACTTGGCTACTCTGCTTTTGATTGTTCATTTGGTGTATCACTGGCTTCTGGAGAGATCCCACCTTCAACCGGGTCACCAGCAAGAGGAACAAGCAGGAACACCCCTTAGTGTCATTCCGCTCTTGGCTTGCTTGCTACTTACTTCTGATGAGTGCATTATGGTGGAGGTGCAGTGCGGAAGTCACAGACGTCACTACATTTTGTTCATTTGACCACATCACTATTTTTGGGACTAATATGATATTTAGAGGTCTTATTTATTTTCATTTGTTATTTGTTATACCCAGGGGCGGACTGACCATTTGGAAACTCGGCACTGCCCGAGGGCCCGGGGTCAGTAGGGGGCCCCATGAGATGCCCCTGGTACCTTTTTCATAGGCTTTTTTGAGTTCGGGCAAGGACACAGGGGCCCCATGATCCCCTATTGCCCGGGGGCCCCATGAGTTGTCAGTCCGCCCCTGGTTATACCATCGATTTTGTTTCTTCATTCGAGTATTCACTAGTCTCTATTTCTTTTTTATGATGTTTCCTTTCTCTTTAACGATCAATACTCACTGGTAAAATATGGTATTGGTGCAACCCTAGTTACAATACAATACAAAAGGGTTAGGAGGGTCCTGCTCATGACGGCTTGCAATCTAAACCAATTTTATTGTCAGATTTAAGGACATTTGGTGCATCAGAAGCTCATTGTTTTCAATAGGCTGCCTCAATGCAACGCATGTTAACGCACAGACATTTATGCACTGCACATATATATAAATGAGCCCTTGGGTTGTTATTATTATTATTATACAGGATTTATATAGCACCAACAGTTTGTTCAGCGCTTTACAATATAACGGGAGACAATACAGCAACAATACAGTTCAATACAGGAGAGATTTCAGGGCCCTGATCCTTGGAGCTTACAACCTAGGAGATGTCAGGTCCCAGACTGCACATGACCCTCTTTCTCATTGTAGGGAATAGGGGCTCTTCTGAATTTGCTGTATTTAGTGTTTTTAACTGCATCTATTTTTATAAACAATAACCTGATTTTTATTAGACAAGAACTTTGCTTTTATATAATACGATTATTTTATTTTATAATATTTGATTTGATTTTATAGTATTAAAAAAGAAAATGATAGCATTAAGAACCCAACAGCTGCATCTGCAGCTCCCCCTACTGACCATTACTGACTTTGCATCACTATCTTCGGCCCGTGAAAATACCATATTTTGTCATCCACGACAGAATCTGATTGTCTCACAGCCAAACAATACATTTACAATTTCCTGCTAATGCAAACTGTAACAATGAAATAGCAATTGTAATGTCTTCAGTGGGGGGGGGAATGAAAGCAATTTTATTACACGGGCAATTCACCGGTGAAAAGTAGAAGGGAAAGGATTCAAATTGAGTCCGCTTATTTTAATCACAAAATAGGATCAAAGTAATCTGAGGAGTTATGTGTCAGAAAAAATATAAGCTGGGTTTCATTGATGATTCCGTTTCCGACCTACATTTCTCTGAAATGTCGTTATGTTGAGCTTCCAGCGGCGTGTTGTTGTTGTTTTCAGCGGTAACTGATGGCAAACTGGGTCATGATTCATGAATGGAATATTTAATGGGCAAATCAAATCAAATGGTTAAGTAGATAGTTGGGATACAAACCACTTGGTGATTTGGAAAGCGTTGCACATACTCTGAGCCTATCGACCTCTATTGTGTGATGGCTGCTTAGAATCAGCGCTGCAGATTTGGTGTCACTGCCCCGCCTCCTCCCTATTCCTTATTGGATTACCAGTTAAAGCTCAGCTCCAGTGAGAATATTTTTTTTAAGTCTTCTGCCCAGCACAATGCAAACCATAAGGCCTCATGGGCACTGAGCAATACAAACACTGCTCTAGGGAGGGGTCTGGGGTTTTTGTTTTTCTGGATCTAAATGCCCCTCTATGTTAGCCTTTGTGTCCATGCACACTTAGGTGTTTAGAGACAGGGGAGTTTAGTGTATGGGCATTTAAACTGTACACTTCCCTCGCGGTAGCAATAGCACTTAGTGTAGGTAGACTGGTGCAGTCTGCAGTTCACGGCCGAGGACTATGACGTAATTTAAGTTCAGGTAAAGGCAGACTAGAACAGTCCACAGTTCATGGCTGAGGACCATGAAGTAGCTTGAGTACAGAAGGCAGACTGGAAAAGTCCACAGTTCATGGCTGAGGACCATGAAGTAGCTTGAGTACAGAAGGCAGACTGGAAAAGTCCACAGTTCATGGCTGAGGACCATGAAGTAGCTTGAGTACAGAAGGCAGACTGGAAAAGTCCACAGTTCATGGCTGAGGACCATGAAGTAGTTTGAGTACAGAAGGCAGAATGGAAAAGTCCATGGTTCATGGCTGAGGACCATGAAGTAGTTTGATTACAGAAAGGCAGACTGGAAAGATCTACAGTTTATGGCTGGGGACCATAAAGTAGCTTAAGTACAGAAGGCATACTGGAAAAGTCCACAGTTCAAGGCTGAGGACCATGAAGTAGCTTGAGTAGAGAAAAGCAGAGTGAAAAGTCCACAGTTCACAGGTGAGGACTATGAAATAGCTTGAGTACAGAAGGCAGACTGGAAGAGTTTACAGTTCACGGCTGAGGACCATGAAGTAGCTTGAGTACAGAAAGGCAGAGTGGAAAGTCCACAGTTCACAAGTGAGGACAATGAAGTAGCTTGGGTACAGAAAGGCAGAGTGGAAAGTCCACAGTTCATGGATGAGGACCATGAAGTCGCTTGAGTACAGAAAGGCAGACTGGAAAATTCCATGGTTCACAGGTGAGGACCATGAAGTAGCTTGAGTACAGAAAAGCAGAGTGAACAGTCCACAGTTCGCAGGTGAGGACCATGAAATAGCTTGAGTAGAGAAGACAGACTGGAAAAGTCTACAGTTCACAGGTGAGGACCATGAAATAGCTTGAGTAGAGAAGACAGACTGGAAAAGTCTACAGTTCACGGCTGGGGACCATCAAGTAGGTTGAGTACAGAAAGGCAGAGTGGAAAGTCCACAGTTCATGGCTGAGGGACCAAGAAGTATCTTGAGTGTAGAAAGGCAGACTGGAAAAGTCCATGGTTCACAGGTTAGGACCATGAAGTAGCTTGAGTACAGAAAGGCAGAGTGGAAAGTCCACAGTTCATGGCTGAGGGCCATGAAGTAGCTTGAGTGTAGAAAGGCAGACTGGAAAAGTCCATGGTTCACAGGTGAGGACCATGAAGTAGCTTGAGTACAGAAAGACAGAGTGGAAGGTCCACAGTTCACAGGTGAGGACCATGAAGTAGCTTGAGTACAGATGGACAGACTGGAAAAGTCCACAGTTCAGGGGTGAGGACTATGAAGTACTGTAGCTTAAGTACAGAAAGACAGATTGGAAAAGTCCACAGCTCTAATCACAGGATCCTGGCACACAGTCACAGACTCTGATACAGTAGTCCAGTATTCAGTCCAAAGGGCTGCATTTCATCAGCTTCATTGAAGGGTAGGAGACACATCTAGAGTCTATTAGTTCAGTTAGAGAACCTGTCACCAAAAAAAAGCATCACATAGGAAACCCCTATTTGAGCCATCCTACCCCTACACACACGCAAGCACAAATGTAAATGCACGCGTCAGGGACGCCTACACACGAAAACATCAATTGTGCTGCACATGTTACATATCGCCGCACACACCAGAAGGAGAGCAATAATTCCTGGCTCATTATTCATTAACTCTAAACTGATGACCTGTAGGGGCTTTTAAAGCGTTGCCAATGGAAAATACAGAGCAATGAAGTTTGTTGTCATTTCACAGGAACACAACAACTTTAAGGTTTGACATGTTGGGTATATATTTACTCAGCACAACATCATCATTTATATCTTACCTAAAAATTGGGTAATTTGTTGCATTTGTGTGCCCTAAGATTAACTACAGTGTATTTTCTACTGAAATCTAGCATTTCTAAATCTGTTCCATTAATATCGTGTGACATAAAAAAAACTATTACTATTTTATTTTCTAGGACAGTAGTTGTCAACTTCATCAATATATAGGGGGCCTCAAATGCCCCGCCTGATACCTCCAAAAATCTGCATATTGTAATTATTGCATGTAATGCCATAGAGGACTATCATAGATTGAAGACTTATTAGTGAAAAATTGTCAGAGACTGTTCTACAGGACTGGTTGGAGACTGAAGTCGTGTTTTAGGGACAGTTCGTGACTAGGGACATGTTACAGAATGCTGCCACAGATCACTGTTGTGAGATGGGGAAACAGCTCTCATTGTTTTAATACTGCTTGGGTGGAGTAAATTAAATGTTTTGACTGACATTCTGCAGTTTAGCCACAAGATGTCACTGTTATTCTAACACAGCCTCAGACTGCATATTCATGAAGAGGTGGAGTTTTCACACAGAGTTGAGAGAGAACAGGAAGAAGAGAGAGCAGCCATGTTCTGGAGGATGGTGAATGCAGGAGCCGTGTGAGCTGAGAATCTGATGACATCCAGGTGTGAGAGCATCCCTCCGTAACCAGAGCTGCAGCTAAGTGAAGCTGATGAGATTGCTGCCAGGAATGCTGATGAGATTGCTGCCAGGAATGCTGATGAGAGCAGAGGAACTAAGCAACATATACGGCGAGACCGCATGCTTGTTGGAGAGACATTTGTTCTGTTCAGAGTCACCAGCGGATACAAAGCAGACCCGGGTTGGTAAGATCGTGCATGCACCTCATTTCAGTGTTGGCGCCTTGAGACTGAGTCCAGGTCTATAGTTAGTTAGTTAGGGTCTCTGTTTGTGTCAGGCCACAAGTGTTATTACTGATCATTGGAAGGACTCCACAACTTAAAGTGACATTTCACATTGGAGAGCTGATAAAATCCTACAAACTCAAGCCAGACTGGCGTTTTGCTCAGAAGGAATACTCAGGCACGTGCTACAGGACCAGTTATGGGAGGGGGAATACTGTAGCTTTGTGTAAGATTGTAAGCTGTTGTGCTGCACCGCAGGCTAGCCCATACCATACACCCATACACTGATTCCTGCTCTTTTAGGGTAATAACGGGTAAGGTGTGACAGCTTAGTTGTGCCCGCCAGTAGGTAAATTACTACTCTTTCTACCTTCATCATCAGAAGGCGCCGTGCTGTGCAGCACAAGGGTCTCAGCCTTTGGGCTGGGTGTATGTAAATTTATTGTATGTTCCCTATCTGTACAGTGGTACATTGCCACTTTCTGGATAGAGGAAAACCTGCACCTGCCTACATGCCCTTTTACTTTACTGTCACTTTTCTATTGACTGAGTTTGAAGGGCATCCTCATGGCCAATGGGAAGGTAAGGAGAGCAGGAAGGAGCACGCTGCCGAAACTGATGAGGGGAAGAAAGTATTGGCTAAAAATAAATTTTTTTCAGGCCTTGCATTTAGTTTACA